AATTTTATATTTTATTAAAATGTAATTCTGCCAGCCCATTTCTACAAACAAATATTATATTTTTAATTGTGTTGGGATTGTCACCTGTGGACATTTTAAACTGTTTTACATATTCGTGCAGAGGCATAGCCTCTAAAGAAAGGTTGTCTCTGCAATGGAAATAGTTGTTCCTGGTGATTAGACATGGCAAGTAAACTTGGACTCGTATCCAGATGAATTTTATATTTTATTAAAAAAAAATAATTTTTATTTATATTTATATTTTTATTTGACATTTTAACTATTAAAGTTTCCTTTACTTCCAGTACTTTTTCACTTGTTATATAGAAACTTAAAACTTAAATTACTAACATTTATTTTTATATATGTTACAATTTTACTAAATTAATTTCTGTATAATCTTTTAAGAACTTTATCTCGATCATAAAACAAAGTTCTTGTTGGAATTTATAGAAACTAACAAGTTATAGAGCATAGTAATCAATAAAATCACTTTCAATTTACATGATAAGTATATTGAAAAACTTTGAAAATGTCTAAGGAAGTAAGAGCAATATACACTTAATGTACTGCTCTTGCTCTCTATCAAAAGTTTAACAAAAAGTGTATTTAAGAAAAACGAATTGTTTCTATGTAAAATGAAGGCAAACAAATCTCGTTGAACTGTAAAGAAGCGTTGTTTAATGATGAAAACAGAATTTAATTGACTGAAAATAGTGTATAATCGAAGTAGTACTTAGATAAAAATGTCGATTCTATAGTCCAAAAGCCTGTATTTGTAATATAATAAAATTTAATTTGAAAATCTTTTTTTAAAAGGTCTTCTGAGATTTATTGTATACCTTTGAAAGCTATTCAAACTTCTCTTTTTAATGCAGATTATTTTGTATAATGATGATCTTTAAATGAATGCTAAAAGCAATCTTTCATAAATCAAGATTTATGCACGAGTATTTTCTTCTTCTTTCTTCATTAAAGGAAATATTCAGTATTTTTAACGAAGAAAGGCTATAATTATATTCATTTTTGAGTTATAAATAATATATATTATAATATATGAATTAAAATTAATAAAACTTTGAGTGCCTATGAGTGAAGATCGTTGTTGCACTCAAAGGCACTCAAATTTTCATTAATCTTAATTGGGAGACTAAAAGATAAAGATGATCAATCGCTACCATAATATAATTTAAGTATATTTTTATATTTAAATATTAAATAACTAGGAATATAAGTAGAATATTAAATATTATAGTTCACATTTTAAGCATTTTCAATGGTATAATTTAATATAAGTTTATAAATTAAACATATTTTACTTCAACTAATTTAATATATGTAAGTCTTTATTTACCAAGAGCTATTCTATCAGCAGTAGCTTCTCTATTAATCCAAAAGGAAACCCAGGACAAGACAACTAACATAGTACACGGGGCATAAACTTCTATGATAAAATTTCCTATGTGTCTTTGAAGATGAAAACTCGCAACGAGTAATGATTTATGACCTTGATAAACATTAATTATATTAATAATATGATATTATTTACTTATTATTTAGCCTATCTTTCAATAAAAATTGATACCTTTGGAGTGATACCTCGACGTGTTTCCCGTAGGAGTTGATATCACGTCAAACTGAGACATTTTCATGTCGGGTGCTATGGCAACTCCTCCGGATGGACTCCATTGATAAATAACATCATTTGGAGAATAACCAACTAGATGAGACTTACGAATTTAATATTGTATTATTGTAGAATATTTTTCGTAAGTTATTCAGGATTCTTCGTAAAAAATATTTGTTTTATATTTTAAAGTATTATTCAATTAATTTAGCAGTTTTTTTAATTCGTAATTTGGTGGAGATTAATACACAGAATATAATAATTAATTGATTTTANAAATATAATTATAAAAATGGAAGGGAAATGGCCGAATTCGATGATCAAGACGACATTATGAATTTTTCGTTTTTCGCTGTGATAAGTCTCAGTAATCTTTAGGTAACTATATACTAAGGCTGGCCAACCTTGTCACGACAGGAGCCATATATCTTCTGTCAGAAATACGAGAGCCACATTCTTTATTGAAACTGTATTTTATACAAGTATATATATGTGTGTGTGTGTGTCTGTGTGTGTGTGTGTGTGTATGTATATATATTATATATAAACTTATATAGAAGCCACAGTAAGAGCAGTACTTTTTCACTTGTTATATAGAAACTTAAAACTTAAATTACTAACATTTATTTTTATATATGTTACAATTTTACTAAATTAATTTCTGTATAATCTTTTAAGAACTTTATCTCGATCATAAAACAAAGTTCTTGTTGGAATTTATAGAAACTAACAAGTTATAGAGCATAGTAATCAATAAAATCACTTTCAATTTACATGATAAGTATATTGAAAAACTTTGAAAATGTCTAAGGAAGTAAGAGCAATATACACTTAATGTACTGCTCTTGCTCTCTATCAAAAGTTTAACAAAAAGTGTATTTAAGAAAAACGAATTGTTTCTATGTAAAATGAAGGCAAACAAATCTCGTTGAACTGTAAAGAAGCGTTGTTTAATGATGAAAACAGAATTTAATTGACTGAAAATAGTGTATAATCGAAGTAGTACTTAGATAAAAATGTCGATTCTATAGTCCAAAAGCCTGTATTTGTAATATAATAAAATTTAATTTGAAAATCTTTTTTTAAAAGGTCTTCTGAGATTTATTGTATACCTTTGAAAGCTATTCAAACTTCTCTTTTTAATGCAGATTATTTTGTATAATGATGATCTTTAAATGAATGCTAAAAGCAATCTTTCATAAATCAAGATTTATGCACGAGTATTTTCTTCTTCTTTCTTCATTAAAGGAAATATTCAGTATTTTTAACGAAGAAAGGCTATAATTATATTCATTTTTGAGTTATAAATAATATATATTATAATATATGAATTAAAATTAATAAAACTTTGAGTGCCTATGAGTGAAGATCGTTGTTGCACTCAAAGGCACTCAAATTTTCATTAATCTTAATTGGGAGACTAAAAGATAAAGATGATCAATCGCTACCATAATATAATTTAAGTATATTTTTATATTTAAATATTAAATAACTAGGAATATAAGTAGAATATTAAATATTATAGTTCACATTTTAAGCATTTTCAATGGTATAATTTAATATAAGTTTATAAATTAAACATATTTTACTTCAACTAATTTAATATATGTAAGTCTTTATTTACCAAGAGCTATTCTATCAGCAGTAGCTTCTCTATTAATCCAAAAGGAAACCCAGGACAAGACAACTAACATAGTACACGGGGCATAAACTTCTATGATAAAATTTCCTATGTGTCTTTGAAGATGAAAACTCGCAACGAGTAATGATTTATGACCTTGATAAACATTAATTATATTAATAATATGATATTATTTACTTATTATTTAGCCTATCTTTCAATAAAAATTGATACCTTTGGAGTGATACCTCGACGTGTTTCCCGTAGGAGTTGATATCACGTCAAACTGAGACATTTTCATGTCGGGTGCTATGGCAACTCCTCCGGATGGACTCCATTGATAAATAACATCATTTGGAGAATAACCAACTAGATGAGACTTACGAATTTAATATTGTATTATTGTAGAATATTTTTCGTAAGTTATTCAGGATTCTTCGTAAAAAATATTTGTTTTATATTTTAAAGTATTATTCAATTAATTTAGCAGTTTTTTTAATTCGTAATTTGGTGGAGATTAATACACAGAATATAATAATTAATTGATTTTATTGTTAAAATTTCTTTATTAATTTATACAAAAAATATACGAAACTTACAGCTACCAATATATAGAGAACAAGCTTGAAAATCCATCGGATAATTTGCTAGTTTCATTGGGCAACTCGCTCTTATTGTCAACCTATTAAAAAAGGGAAATGATTCTCAATTAATAATAGAAAAATATATCTGGAAGGAAGCTAAAAAATGCAAAAATATTTTCATGTTTTACTAATATTTTATGGAATATCTTTTGTTCAAGAAGGTTAAAGAATAAAAAATAAATAAATAAAAGAAACTTAGAAATTTATAATTATTTATTTATATATTTTTTAGAATTTCCTCACTCGTTAATATTTGTTTTTATTTTTTTAAAGTGTTTTCAAGAAAAAAAATGAGATAAATAAAAACTAAAAATAAAAAAACTATGCATTAATAGATTGTTTATGTATGACCTTATACATTTCCAAAAAAAATTAAATAATATAATGTAAATTGTAATTAATTTTAACAATAATTATTATTATTTATATGTCGTTTCATATTATAAATTAGTCATTTTATCTTGGACAAATAAAATTGATATTTAAAAAAAAATTATAAATAATAAAATTATTGTTAATAATTTTATAAAACT